TAAATAAATATTTTGGCTCTAACATTGTGCTTTTATTAGAAATTATTCTATCTTTTAAAACTTTTAATTAAGCTGTATGTTATTTCAATTTTATTAATTATTTGATATAATGTGTGAAAAAAATAAAAAATAATGAATATGTAATCAATAAAATTATAAAAACATATATCAGATAAGATATGGGCCTCATTTGAGAAGTTGACTATTTTAATAGGCTATTTTAGTAAGTTAAAATTTTTGCATTTGAAAAGAAGTTTTTATTTATTTATTTCATTTTATTTATATAGTTGAATGTGATATTTGTAAGAGAAAAAATGAAACAATTATAAATTTGATGTAGCATTTTATCTTATTAACTATTTTAATTTATTTTATTTTTTGGATAAATTACATTAACGGTCCCTATAGTTTGAAACTTGTGTCACTTTGGTCCCTGACTCTTCAATTGTAATACATTTGACCATGAACTTTGAATCTTAGTCCAAATAAGGACAATTGAAGAAACCAATGCTCCATTTAAAGGATAAAATCGTGAATTTCATAAAATATAAACTAATTTGATAAAAATAAATGTCAAAAAAATATTTTAAAATTTAAAAAATTATTTATACCCACCAAAGATAAAATTATATAAAATTGATAAATCTTGTACGCATTTATTTATTTTATCAAATTAATTTTTATTATGTGTTTGGATGATGGTCATATAATGAGTGGTTATTTTTATTTTCATTAAATTAATTTTTATTTTTCCAAAAGTCAAATATGCCGACAACTTTCATATCACTATTAAATCAGTCAATTAAATAAAAAAAATCTAAAACTAAAAATTTCATATATTTAATATATTGATTACATATTAAAATCCTAGTAACCACCCATTATATAATCATCATTTAAACACATAATAAAAATTAATTTAATAAAATAAATAAATGGGTAAGAGATTTATTAATTTTACATGATTTTATCTGGTGTATAGAAATAATTTTTAAAAATTTTAAAATATTTTTTTGACAATTATATTTGTGAAATTAATTTATATTTTATCCATGGCATCTTCAATTATCTTCAATTGTCCTTATTTAGAGTAAGATTCAAAATTTAATATTAAATATGTCACAATTGAAAATTAAAATATAGGGACTATTAATATAATGTATTCTTATTTTTTTTTTAAAAATAGTAAAAAAAAAAAACAAAAACAAAAAACAAAAACAAAAAACCACTTGCCAAACAGGCCATGAATTGCACCTATGTGATATTTTTTTCAATAATATTTGAGAGCTCTTTATTTCAATAATATTTGAGAGCTCTAATACAACTCTAATGATGTGGAGAGTATTCGGTGGGGCTCACACTTCTCTTTCTTCCACCTCACTAGTGCTCCATTTAGAACTGTCAAATTAAAAGTATGTATCATTACTCTATTTTTTTTTTTCCAAAATTGTTTGAAACTTTTAAACAAGAAGCTCTAGAAATAAATCTCACTTTAGATTTGATGTTTTGACTTGTAATATTATATTTTTTTATAGGGTATGGCTTTTGTTCAGTCCGGGATCGGATTAGACCGTGCTGTTGGGCCCGTGGGGGCCCACCATGAGTCTCGTTTTGATAATCTGAACCGTTCAATATGTAGAACTCGTCGATTACTATATGTCTATAAAAAATCACGTTGATCGGATATCGATAGCTATGTGATCAAAACAGTTTTTTGTCAATCGTTAATTTGTTCATCGTCCAATTTTTTTAATACGAAACTGATTGGATCATATAACTATCGATATCCAATCAACGTGATTTTTTATAAACATATAGTACTCAACGAGTTCTACACATTGAACGATTTAGATTATCAAAACGAGACCCATGATATTACAATTTTAACCTTTGTAATAAAAAAAAAAAATGAAATGGTTATAATTTTGATGTGACATTTTGTCTTATTGATTTATTTAACTTTATTTTGTCATTTGTACTTTTTTTAATCCAAAAAGCCATAGTCAAACAAAGCCTAATAAAGGGTTGTTTGGAATAATCTAAATAAATATACATTTTAAATTTTTACGTGTATAAAAAAATAGAGAGCTGATATAATCAAAATAAGTATTCTTATCTAAATAAACGCACTTATCAAATAGGGCCTAAAAATTTAAATAAATATTTTGGCTCTAACATTGTGCTTTTATTAGAAATTATTCTATCTTTTAAAACTTTTAATTAAGCTGTATGTTATTTCAATTTTATTAATTATTTGATATAATGTGTGAAAAAAATAAAAAATAATGAATATGTAATCAATAAAATTATAAAAACATATATCAGATAAGATATGGGCCTCATTTGAGAAGTTGACTATTTTAATAGGCTATTTTAGTAAGTTAAAATTTTTGCATTTGAAAAGAAGTTTTTATTTATTTATTTCATTTTATTTATATAGTTGAATGTGATATTTGTAAGAGAAAAAATGAAACAATTATAAATTTGATGTAGCATTTTATCTTATTAACTATTTTAATTTATTTTATTTTTTGGATAAATTACATTAACGGTCCCTATAGTTTGAAACTTGTGTCACTTTGGTCCCTGACTCTTCAATTGTAATACATTTGACCATGAACTTTGAATCTTAGTCCAAATAAGGACAATTGAAGAAACCAATGCTCCATTTAAAGGATAAAATCGTGAATTTCATAAAATATAAACTAATTTGATAAAAATAAATGTCAAAAAAATATTTTAAAATTTAAAAAATTATTTATACCCACCAAAGATAAAATTATATAAAATTGATAAATCTTGTACGCATTTATTTATTTTATCAAATTAATTTTTATTATGTGTTTGGATGATGGTCATATAATGAGTGGTTATTTTTATTTTCATTAAATTAATTTTTATTTTTCCAAAAGTCAAATATGCCGACAACTTTCATATCACTATTAAATCAGTCAATTAAATAAAAAAAATCTAAAACTAAAAATTTCATATATTTAATATATTGATTACATATTAAAATCCTAGTAACCACCCATTATATAATCATCATTTAAACACATAATAAAAATTAATTTAATAAAATAAATAAATGGGTAAGAGATTTATTAATTTTACATGATTTTATCTGGTGTATAGAAATAATTTTTAAAAATTTTAAAATATTTTTTTGACAATTATATTTGTGAAATTAATTTATATTTTATCCATGGCATCTTCAATTATCTTCAATTGTCCTTATTTAGAGTAAGATTCAAAATTTAATATTAAATATGTCACAATTGAAAATTAAAATATAGGGACTATTAATATAATGTATTCTTATTTTTAAAAAAAAAAATTAGTAAAAAAAAAAACATAAAAAAAAAAAAACCACTTGCCAAACAGGCCATGAATTGCACCTATGTGATATTTTTTTCAATAATATTTGAAAGCTCTTTATTTCAATAATATTTGAGAGCTCTAATACAACTCTAATGATATGGAGAGTATTCGGTGGGGCTCACACTTCTCTTTCTTCCACCTCACTAGTGCTCCATTTAGAACTGTCAAATTAAAAGTATGTATCATTACTCTATTTTTTTTTTCCAAAATTGTTTGAAACTTTTAAACAAGAAGCTCTATAAATAAATCCCACCTTAGATTTGATGTTTTGACTTGTAATATTATATTTTTTTATAGGGTATGGCTTCTGTTCAGTCCGGGATCGGATTAGACCGTGCTGTTGGGCCCGTGGGGGACCACCATGAGTCTCGTTTTGATAATCTGAACCGTTCAATGTATAGAATTCGTCGATTACTATATGTCTATAAAAAATCACGTTGATCGGATATCGATAGCTATGTGATCAAAACAGTTTTTTGTCAATCGTTAATTTGTTCATCGCCCAATTTTTTTAATACGAAACTGATTTGATCATATAACTATCGATATCCAATCAACGTAATTTTTTACAAACATATAGTACTCAACGAGTTCTACACATTGACGATTTAGATTATCAAAATGAGACCCATGATATTACAAGTATATAGTACTCAACGAGTTATACACATTGAATGGTTTAGATTATCAAAACGAGACCCATGATAGACTCTCACAGATCCAACAACACGATCCAATCTGATCCCAAATTGAACAAAAGGCATATCTTTTTTCATATGTATTGTCACATTATTAAAATTGACATGAGAACTCTAACTTTTTTTTTTTTTTTTTTTTTGTTACAGGAAAATTCTCCCATTCTCCCGCAGGTCCAAGGCAGCGTCCCTTGAGGAGATCACCAGGGTGTCCTGTTGTCCGTTCCGAGTAAGAGACTATAACTTAGAAGCTTGTCCCGACCTCCCAAGGCAAGCTCCGCTTAAGTCAGGACTCGCACAGCGGGGGAGAATTAAACCTACACCAAGTAACTGATAAGACATCCTTGAAGTCAACCTCCTAACTAACTATGCTACGTCAAAGAAATTAGCCCAAAAAAGAGTTGAACCCAGAACCTAGAGAGTTAAACCTCAGGTTGCCACTCACCCATGAGTTAGAAGTCTAACTCTAACGTCCTCTATCATTGTTTTTTTTTTCCTTGTCTCGAGAGCACTTTCTTATTACTTTATTCAAAAATGCTTTAGAGCTTTAATATAAGAACTTTAATAGCTTTAATGGGAAGGTGAGTCCTACCCTAATGTGATGTTTGTGCCTTATTTTGTTTTATTTTATTTTATTTTTTACTTTGACACATCATTAGAGCTCAAATTAAAACTCTATATTTAGAGCTTTCTATCATTTCCCTACTTTATTTTATGCGTGTATGGGTAGATATTTATATATAATATTTAAATATTAAACCTCCGTACTCTGACAACGACCACTGAGGGATGGTGGCACATGCCTCCTGTCATATCATTTGCAAATGGACGGTACCGATTCTCAGGTACGGATCTCCCAACGGCCCCGATTGGAATTTCCCCTAAACCTTTCACCGATAGAGAGAGAAAGACTGAGCTCTCGATTCCTCTCTCTCTCTCTACTGCTACCAGGTCGAGCTTGGTCGGGGCCATTATAAAAGAGAGAACCCCTCTCTCTGTGCCTTTCTCTCTTTCCACACACTCTCTCTCTATCTTCATCGACAGCGATTGGCCACGAAAAGCTCCACTTTCATTCATGGCGGTCTCGAAGGACGCGCGGCGCTCTGAGCTCGGCTGATGATGCGAGTTTTTTTTTTTTTCAAGCTAGGGCTTTGATTTTGCAAAGAAAGTTACTTCCTTTTCTGATGAGCAGGTTGTTGGAGCTAAAATTGGGGGTTTATAATGGGTTTGTGATTTGCGAATTGTAGGGTTTTGGGTTTGGTTTGGTTTGGTTGGTGTGCGTTTGTGTTTTTCGAATCTGTGGAATGCATGTGAGCTTTTTGACTATGGTGACATGATGGTGTGTGGAGCCCTGATTGAGGAGACGGGGAGTATTTTGAAGACAAAAAAAAGTTGCATTTGAACAACAGTTTAGGGCTCAAGATTATGACTGATACTGCAAAGGGTAGTATTAGCTGAATTTTTTTATGTAGTTTAAACTATTGTTTTTTACTCAAAATCTACTTAAGATATGAAGCTTTCAACATCAGCACTGGGACAGCAAACTCATGAAGGTATCTCTAATCTCTCTCTCTCTTACCCCTTTCTTTGCCCCCTCTTTTTTTTGTAGACTTTTATACATGATTATGTATTTGTCATTTTTCATTTTTTTCTGTGTTGAACCATGTATTTGTTCTCGTTAGATTTAGAAAAACAAACCAAAGCAATAGATAACCAACATTTGGGGGTACTTTTATTGAAGGGGAGAAGAAATGTTTGAATTCTGAGCTATGGCATGCGTGTGCTGGTCCTCTGGTGTCCCTACCAACAGTCGGTAGTCGCGTGGTGTACTTCCCTCAGGGTCATAGTGAGCAGGTTTACTTCCCTTAAAATTTAGAATCCCTTTAAATACTTTTATTGAATTTATTCATGAGGAAAACATATGTTATCTGTTAAAAAGTAATCTTAATAACCCCAATTGTAATTGGAAGCCAGGTTGCAGCCACAACTAACAAAGAAGTTGATGCCCATATGCCCAATTATCCCAGCTTGCCACCCCAGTTGATCTGCCAACTACACAATGTTACAATGCATGTGGGTGCTATTGTTTACGTGATTTCTTGTTCACTTATCAACATTTTACCTAATTGTTGACAATGTTGTATAGACCCTTAAGAAAGAATTGTTTATTTCTGGAATTTCAGGCAGATCTCGAAACAGATGAAGTATATGCTCAAATGACCTTGCAGCCCTTGACACCGGTAGTTTTAAGTTATACTTTAAATTATTTAACTAAGCACTTGACTCTTTGACCAATTTATTGTCAATTCATTGGCAAAAGTAATCTATTTTGGTACTGACACAGCAAGAGCAAAAGGATACATATGTTCCTGTTGAGCTTGGGATACCAAGCAAGCAGCCTACAAATTATTTCTGCAAGACATTAACAGCAAGTGACACTAGTACTCATGGAGGGTTCTCTGTTCCTCGTCGTGCTGCAGAAAAAGTTTTCCCCCCACTGGTAAATACTAAGCTAATGCATATTACCTGCTCTTCTTTTCTACTAAGCTAATGCATATTACTTTTCTTGGGTTCATCAGGATTTCTCTCTGCAGCCACCTGCTCAGGAGCTCATTGCAAGGGATCTCCATGATGTTGAGTGGAAGTTTAGGCATATCTTCAGAGGTAGGTGATACTTTTATAGTTGTTTTTGTCAATTGAAAGTAATTTTGCTATTTTACTCTCTCAGAAAACCTCTGAGACAATATTATATAGCTTTTGGATCATATAGAAGAAAATACAGGAAATACTAAGTGAGTGTGCTATTGATTTAGGACAAGTGTGGTGAACACTTTCCTACTATTCTAGTACTGAGTCCAAAACTAGTAATATGATGCTGTAGAAAAGTAGGCCTTTGGGCTGATTTTAGTTGATTTTTATGGCTGGAAAGGTGGCTAAAATATAAAGCCTATTAGGGCTTATATATGGTGTAATCACAGGGAAAACATTTGGCAATGAAAGGAAAGGATATTGGGGTATGTTTGGGGTTATTCTGGGTGCTGTGTATATTATCTTGTGTTGGTTTTGTATCTTTTGCATGTTAGGCTTCTAGAGTTGAAAAGTTATGATGCTTTAGGGTTGAATAGGGGTTTGCTACTGATATGGTTTTGTGACTCTAGAGGCCAAAAGTTCAAAACATTAGAAGAAAGAAAATCTCTAGCAAAATAACCTGATTCATACAACGATTCATGGGCTCCTCCCACAACTCATGTCCAAAAATCATGCAAATTCCAAAATACCATTCTTCTACAAAACACTAGAAAATGTATTAGATTGATATCTAACCTAAATAACTATAAAATAAGTCTCTACTAAGACTAGAAACATGACCATGTGTGGTTCTCGTAGATCATGCCTCGAAAGCATGTCTACTTTTGATTTTATCTGTGTCGATGGGTGAGGGTGTTATACGGTTTTGGGTAGAATTCAACCTCAAAAGCTAACTCAAGAGGTGAGGGTGCCCTCACGCTTATATGCTTAATATTATTTTAGTACTTGGGCAATGTGGGACTTCGCTTTACACCCTCCCTCAAGCCCAGCGTGCTTACTTGGTAGCACCTGTGGCATGCAAGCCAGGGACACACACCCTACCCATCCTTGATTACTCCGGCTTTGATACCATGTAAGATTTTTGAATGATTTCTGTATATTCAAATTGTGAAATAATAAAAAAAGTACATCGAATTTATATAGCAATTCTAGGCCTAAGACTAGCTTGTTTGGGGTGTGCTATATAAACACACTTTTTATCTTTTTAGGGTTACATCACCTCTCTACTTTTTTGCATATATTTTTGTAAAAAGTCAAAAAGTGCACTTATTTAAATCATCTCAAACAACAATAGGAAACAATAATAATCTTATAATCTAAAATATTCACACAATCTCTCGAATATATACAAATATATACTAATATTCTTCTCACACTCACATCACCCTCCACCTTCTTCCAGTCGTACCATCTGATCGTCATCTAGGATGGGAATCTGAGGAAGATGATCTAAGTCCTAGAGGGAGAATAGAATATGATATTTAGAAGGGATAGTTTAGAGAGAGAAAAATGAAGGGTTTTGTATGAAGACCCAAACAGTTTGTTTATTACTTTTTCCATGGATGTGAAGTTCGACTTTAGTTGCTGTTGTGTATTATGTTAGATTCAGTTTCTCATGTACATGGGGTGGAGAAACAAATCTTTTAGTGTCCTGTTGCAAATTGTACCTTCAAATTATTAGCATTTTCTTCTAAATGGAAGAGGATGCATATTTGTCTCTTATTGTGAGCTAGAAATGATCATTTAATTATTTTTTTGGGTTTGTTTACTCTAAAAACCTAGTTATCTGGAAATCAGAACGACTAATTTGTTGGGCCATTTTTTTGTTGTCGTCGTCTTTGTGTATGTGTGTGTGTGTATAAGTGTGATGGGATGGTTGCAAGCTTTTGCTTTCCACATCAATCAATTACCTACTAGTAGTGAATTTATGAATTCATCTTTCATTGCTTTATTGAGTACTTTAATTTTGCCTAAAAAGGGGCTCCCATTAAAAGGGAACAATGATACTCAATGCCCCTTGAAATTCTTATGTGCCCACTAAAAAAATTGAAGGGGAGTGGTGATGATGATTGAAAATAGATTATTCAAATTGCTTTTCTAACACATGCTTGAAGCACGTGCAATGTTTATGAACATAGAAATGTAGATGGTCGGTTCTATTATTATGGTATGCCATTGTATGTAATCAAATGATTTATGTTAGGAACTTTGACGAAGTTAGAAAAATTAAAAATTAGAAATTTGGAAAGAATTCTAGCCTTAATGCGAGTCTACTTCATTTATGTGTTTGTATGTCGTGTGTATGAATGGAGTTTTAGCTAAAATATTCATAGGGTTAGAAGCTAGTTTTGGAAGTTGTTCTAGCTAATTATTTTTGGCCGTGGCCCTACCATGTGTGGGCACTAGGTTAGTTGTCTTTTTCTCTCTATGTGTCTCTCTCATTTTCATTTATTGTTTTCTTCTCCCTTATATTCTTCTTATTTGTATTTTATTGTGTGATTGTGGAGCTTGAAATTTGAGTGAATTATTTTGGATTTTGTGCATAGCTTGGAGTACAGAGTGTATAGGACTTTGTTTTTTATATTTCTAGCATGTACATGGGTTTTCATTATGGTTCTTTTATCTATTAAACTCTTCTACTTATCAAAGCAATTTATTGGATTCACTCTTTTCCAACTCCCTCCAATGGCTTGGGTGAATTTTGGTATCACGATATCATTGATCTTGCTTGTTTTGGAATTATTGAAGTATGTAGGATATATTTGATAATTATTTGACTGATGAAAGTATTTTAGGATGGAAAACCCTTATTATTTGCTCTTCAACAACTTCTTGTGCTCTAAAACACTAGAACGACTTACCTCACAAGAGAAATGACCTACAGGACCCTAGGAATATTGATACGGCGACATGATAAAACTTATAAAAGTAGGATATGGGTATAGGTAGGATACGTTTGTAAAAAATTATTTTTTAAATTATTAATAGTGAATTACACATAAACTCAAGAATGTTGAGAAACCACTCTGTAATTTTATATGCAAAATATTAATCTTTAAGAATTATATATTAGTTTAATCCATTGGCTAATTTATTTTTTAATAGGTTTTACTAATATTTTGTTTCAATTTTAAGTCCAATATGCTTACATCACAATAATAGAACAATCCACATGAATTTGTCCGTGTGCTTTTCCCTTTTACATTGGTAAAAAATGATGTATATAAGTTTACTTGCTTATTTATTTATTGATATTTAATTCTACTATTATTATATTAATTTGTTAATCTTTACTTTCTATATAGTTATATGGGACATGCACGATACAATAAGGATACGCCAATTTGATGAATTGTATTACCTTTAACTCAATATGTTCTTCTTATCAAAGAACTAAGTAAAGTATTGGAGATATATTATTCTATTTATTCTCACAATTAAGGTAATATTGTATTACTATGCAAGAAATGCTACAATTCTAATTTTGTAAAACAAGTAATATGTGACTTGGAGTAGGGGATAAAAGTAAAAGTAGTCTGTCTAAAATAAATTCATTGCCACAGTCACAACCTTATCTTGAATCTTTTCAGACCTATGTTATCGAACCAAGGGGTACCTAACCCTGTACCTTACGATGATAATGGGATCCGAAATTGTATCAAACAAAAATGTTAGCTTGAAGAACTAAACTTAGTCAAAGTTTTTTATTTTTATTTTAATATCTCAATCATAGTTCTTAATAATCTTGAAGTTATGGGTTCAAGTCTCGGGGCAACCACTCTATGTACTATGCCAAAGGTTAGGTGTGTACCCAATCTTTCCCCTCCCAAACACACATTAATGTGTACTAATTGGGTGTTGTTGTTTGTTGTTTTCCTTTTTTTTTTCTCTTTTTTTTTTTTTTCTGTTGTTGCTGTGATAAGTATTTATTAATTAAAGTGCATATAAGCTTTAATATAAAGAATGTAATTGAAATAGGGTAATTTTTGTCCCTGCCCAATCAAATCACATTTAAGGAACAATCAATTTTTGGAATCAATGAAATAATATTACTAGTATCCTCCACTTGAGAAGGGCCTGATATTTCCAGTTTCTCATTGAACCCGTTCAAAATCATGGAACTTGATAGCTTTGCCTTCTGCAGAATTTCTCTTTAATCACTTCAAGTGAACTTTTAATCAAATCTCCATCTTCCAATATAGGTGAATTTACAACATATTTGTCTTCAAACATTCGTCTTGACTAGATCAAGGTTTCTAATCAATACATCAGCAACTTAAAATTCCAAAACAATTTCTGAAAGTCTCTCTCTCTCTCTCTCTCTCTCATATTTTTGATAAGTAAGACTTGGAAATGCATATCTCTACCTCAATCTCCCCATTTGTTGGTTGTAGGAGATACCCAAAAAATTCAATTTCTTACTTTAATATTTCTGAGTAAAGCTTCCCTAATACTTGTGATGTACATCAATTTCTTTCCAAAGATCAAACTGTGGTACTCAAAATTAATTTGGTTTGCTCTACATTAATTTTGAGTACCTCAATGGAAAGAAGGTTTACTCTACGAAAGTTGATGTATTGAATATTAGGATTCTTGAAGGGAAAAAGTTTTCCAAAGCCTTATGATCACATATTAGAAAAAGAAGTGCATAGATGCTTTGTGTAACCTTGAGATATTACTGGCTTATTGAGATGCTTCATCTATTATTAGGCCAGCAAATTAATTTGATAGAGCTCTACCTGTGTTTGTAATTGAGGGAATGGCCCTGTTATCAGAACTTTTCACACCTACATGGTTGATGATTTCATATTACCGTGTGATGAGATATTCTTTGATGCACAGAATGATTTTCTGTACGTGCTGACATGTTTTCTTTTGGCCTCATTATGCAGGACAGCCCAAACGACATCTTCTTACTACAGGGTGGAGCGTGTTTGTTAGTGCCAAGAGACTTGTAGCTGGAGATTCTGTTCTTTTTATCTGGTATTTTGTCCTGTATTCATCATTTTCAATTTGTTGTCTGTGAATTGCTGATTGGCCATTTGTTTACATTATCTAAATTCTTTATTAACAGGAATGAAAAAAATCAGCTCCTACTGGGAATTCGCCGCGCTATTCGACCGCAAACTGTGATGCCATCATCTGTTTTATCTAGTGATAGCATGCACATTGGACTACTTGCAGCTGCAGCTCATGCTGCTGCTACTAATAGCTGTTTCACTATTTTTTATAACCCAAGGTGGCAATCATTATTCAAATCTTTTTATATATTTTTTATCCTTAAATCCCTATTTACACATTCATTTTATTCAGGGCTAGTCCATCTGAATTTGTCATACCCCTTGCAAAATATGTTAAGGCGGTATACCATACCCGGGTTTCTGTTGGGATGCGTTTCCGGATGCTTTTTGAAACTGAAGAATCAAGTGTTCGCAGGTAATGTAGTGATTATTCTTCAAAACTTGTTTTTTGAGTTGATACTATGTGACTTTCTTGCATTTGCTAAGGAAACTAATTGGTATAATGATTAGTTTTTTTTCTTTTTTCTTTTCTGTCAATGGGATTCTAGCATGGCATCTTAATTTCACTGCATTTCCTTTGGCTTATAACTCCTGGGTTGGTTAATTAGCTGTGGTGGACGTAAGTTATAGGAGGGAAGAAAAATATTCATGATGCCTGGTGCAGTATGCCATGCATGTCTTGCTATTCAGAGACAGGTGACATGTAATTACCCCGTCTTTTGGTGTGGGATAGTACTTTGACAGGTTATTGTGTGATCAGAACCTTCAAACTGCCATTTCATGCTTAGGTTACTATTTGTTATAGTGAATATGCTCAGGTAGTCAGTTTGCCTATGGGGCTGAGTTTCCAAGCCGCTTAATGTCAGGACTAGTTTGCTCATGTTCCTTTTGTCTTAGCACCCCCTCCTCTTTCTGTGAGTCTCTGGTGGGTTTGCCCATGTCCAGTGCAAAAACATCCTACCTATCTTTTAATGGTGTGACACTTATTGGGCGCTGCTTGTGCATCAGATGTTCTTACTTGGGGGGGCTTTGTTTCTTATATGTGGATGGTTTCCATTATCCAGATACATGGGTACGATAACTGGCATTGGTGACCTCGATTCTGTTCGTTGGCCAAATTCTCATTGGCGATCTGTCAAGGTAAATACTCATACTGCATGCACTTTTCTTATATTGGTATGGAGTATTGCGCTCATGTTGTCCACAATTTCATTAGATACCTAGATATTCTATTACTCAAATGCATTTTGCATGTGGCTTTTAAGCATGTAATTGCTTCTGCAGTGATATCTCTATAAAATAGATTAATGTCAATTCAAAAAATGCAGTTAAATAGTACTTAGTGAATTCTTCAGTTTGCTTTTTTTTTTTTGTTGTTTTGACTTTCTTCTAATGCTATAAATAAGGTGTAGAGCCTTTACACATGAAGAATATAGGATGACTCAAACTGGCTTGTTTAGTTGCGTTACATGTTTCCTTTATTTTTCTTTTTTTCCCCCAATGGAGTTTAAGGTGGGATGAGAGCTTCCCTTCACTGTTGATCTGCACGTTTTCATTTGTTTTTTTTTTTTTTCGTTTTTGTGCCTTTTTTGAAAACAGTTTTCAAAAAACAAAAAAACAAAATTAGCTTAGTATTGTATCTTAAGTTGTTTTATTCAAACTTATAATTAGTTTCACTTGTGTGTAATTGATAGACACGTGTGTTTAAGCGATAGACATGTGAGTCCTCTAAGTATCCAAAGAGTGTCAGGGTCTTTAGAAAAAAATAAAAAATAAGACACGTTTTGAAAAGTGTTGGATACGTGTTGGGAAAGTGTCCAAAGAGTGTTGGTATCCGACATAGACATGACACAGATACGTCACCTTCTTAGAATAGCAATTGTTACGTGAATGATGTCTTTATGTTTAAAGTTATATAATATATTGCTTTAAATTTGACAAGTAATAATTTTATAAAAAATATAAATTTTTAATGTGTGACACACGTATTGTGTCTTACATTTTTTCAAACTTGTCTTGTCATGTCTTGTGTCCATGTCTATGCTACCTAGGGTTTGGAGTTGGAAATGGAGTACTCAATTGGGTTAAAAAAGGGGGTGAGGGAAGGGTAACCCCGCCCCACCCTGATTATATATCTTATTGAACTATTACAAGATACCAATTACTTTTTTTAATACATTTTCATAATGCTTGATCATATAATTATCTTTAGTGTTTTCTTCTCTTCTATCCACATCTCCTCTTTTTACCTTTACTTTGCAATTTCACTACATATCAATGCCAATCAAATTTCAGAATTGTGTACTTTGACCTTACAAGTCATTTGTCATCTTTGTCTATAACGATTCACAAGATGACAAACGACTTGTGAGCAGGGTGAGGGTGTCATTTGCCATGCTTGATCAAAATTGTGTACTTCTCCCATCTTGGGTAGTGAACATTGCCCCAAACCCCGGATTTTTATAGCCCAAGATGACAAATGACTTGTAAGGTCAAAGCTTAGTTGCAGGAATCGTCCAACTAGGTGGCGATTCTGAGTAAGAATCGCGATTCCGCGTTTCTTAGAGAGAAACGTGTAGGAATCGCGTTTCTGTGCAAAGAGAAACGCGATTCAGTCCAAAACGGGGTCGTAAAGGGGAAAGAGAGAGAGAGAGAGAGAGAGACCCTAGCCTTCCATGTCGAAATGAGAGGAAGAAGGGTTTTTCAGAGAAACTTACAGTGAACAATGGTACAAGTCATTTGTCATCTTTGTCTATAACGATTCACAAGATGACAAACGACTTGTGAGCAGGGTGAGGGTGTCATTTGCCATGCTTGATCAAAATTGTGTACTTCTCCCATCTTGGGTAGTGAACATTGCCCCAAACCCAGGATTTTTATAGCCCAAGATGACAAATGACTTGTAAGGTCAAAGTACACAATTTTGAAAGTTGATTGGCATTGAGCAGGGTCGGGTGTCATTTGTCATACTTGATCAAAATTGTGTACTTCTCTAGGGCTTGGGGCAATGTTTACTAAGTAGGGTGGGGGTGTGAACCCATACTCACCTTGTTGCTGTCCTAGTTGTGTCTTGCATTTTTTTTTTGAAAATTGTTGAGTTGGTATTGATGTCGGATGATTGATGAGAATGGAGTAGTTGAAAGAAAGAAAATAAAATATAAGAAAGCCAAGAAAAAATAAAAAAAATAAAAAATTCTCTGATCATTATGTCCAAAGTTTAACTCAATCCTCATTTGCATAGTTTGCAAAACCTATTACATATTCAGAGATATCCAAGGAAACCACAATTAAAATTACCAAATTCGAAACTCGACAAATCAAAAAGACGTTAATGCCAATATTAGTTATTAAATCCTTAATTTTTAATATATGTTCATCCAATTTCTTCACGATCCCCATCAGGTATGTTCATAACATGTCGTATCCATGTTGTTTTTTGCACTTGCGGTTCTTTGTTCAAGGCATTCAGCGGGTTGAGGCGAGAAACTGCGCAATCGCCTTTTTTGCTCACTTTGTTGACATATGTTCTTATCAGCTCTTTAGCCACCTTATTCCTTTTATAATCTTTGATTTTTTGGAGCAAGTGAAATCATTAAAATGGTTAAGGATTGGATAGAAGTGTCTTGTACTCATTTGTGGATGATGCTTTCCCCCTCTTGTAATGGCAATCCTGGATTTTAAAATTGTTCTCGCTACCTTAAATTGTATTATGTACCAGCAATTGATCCCCAGGCAATGCATGGGTCACAAAATAATTCTTAATTTATATTAGCAAATATGTATGAATTATTATTTTTCCTGTGTAATTATAGATAATACATATCATGTGCACTATAATATTGTTGCTATATTTTTATGATTATTCTATTTAATTTAATTTCACTTAAAATGTAAATTAAATTTTTTTTTTCTTTTTTTCTCAATGTGAAATAGATATCTATATATCATGAACAATAAATCAGCTTATCTTGATCGCAAAAAATCTGTCATAGGGCGACTATTATATTCATAATAATTTTTTCTCATAGTAAATTAGGCATTTTATTTTGTAATGGGATGTAAATCATTTTATGATAAAAAAAAAATACTTTATTTAAATCAACGAATATAAATACATAAGAATACTATAACCTTGAGACAACTTGAACTCATGACCTCAATTGTTGTAAAATTGCCCTGTAAAACTAACAAATGTCGTTCAAAAAATTATAATATCCTTCATGAATCATAATACAAATCATGTTAAATAAATATTTTTTTATCCAAATAAAGAGAAATGTGATAAACCTTTTGAACAAAGATCCGCTATAAAAAAGTAATTTGAAAGAACCTGTGGACTCCTCTCCTTAATTACTAATAATTATTTGGAAGCCACTTGAAAACTTTTATTTGTTAATTTTAGTCATAACAGTTTATATGAAATAAAAATTAACTCACTCTTTAATAGAGGCTTATTGATAATTAATCAAAAGTATTACTAATCACCAAAATTGACTTCATATAATTTAGCTATTTACTTGAAAATATAAAAGAATCTCATGTTTTAAGACAGCAACATTTAAATTGTGTCTATTTTGTTTCATTTCTTACTTATATTACTGTTCACCAAAATATTTGCTACATTTAGTAAAACTATTAAATAAGTTAAATTTATTAAATACATAATTGATTTGACAAATTTACATAAATTTGGTTTATGCCATTGTCTAATATTACATATTAACTATGGCATGAAAATATCATGATTGGAGTTAGAATTGTCATTACTTTTAAGGTGAAGGGAAAAAAAATGTATACACTTTTTACATATTTTAATTGAACTTAAAAGACCATTAATCCCATTAATATTACACTCGTATTTCTTTTAGCTCATCTATGAGATTAAGTTTGTGGACAAATTTTAAACGCAATAACTATCATGACTTGGGGGGTAGTGCCTACCACCCTTGCCTATGATTGAAAAATGTTTAGGTTTTGAGGTTACTTACTTTCTCATAATTACAAAGTGATAAAGAATAAATCATTTTATTCAATTTATTTATAATTGAGAACATAGACATTAAATTTGCATAAAAAAATATTTTTTTAAAAAAAATAATGAGTTTTTGTAAAGCTACCATTTTCTCAATAGTAGGTAGTATTTTGCAGTTTTTCGATAAAAAGTTCAAGAGCTAAATTTTTTTTTCTAAAGAAATCTTATGTGGTTAAATTATGTGATAATTTAATTGGATTTTTTTTTGTTGTAGTTTTTTTATATAAATTTTAAGAGTTTAAATTTTATTTTCTAAAGGAATCTTACGTAGTTAAATTACATGATAAGCAAGTTAAAAAAAATCGTAAGATTGTAGCAATGAATCAACAAATTATTTAATGTTAAAAAATTTCAAATTAGATGAATGTTTATATATACTCCATTTTAAGAGGGTTGGATGAAAGTCGTGTGGTCTGGGAGATATACTTATTTGAATTAAAAAATTATTATAAGAGAGAGAGGGGGATGGTTGGGGGAGGAGGAAAGAGAGAATTAATTGAATTTAATGATTTCAATTGCATTTTGAAAAATTTTAGTGATTTAAAAATTTAATTAGTCACTTAAAGATATCTCTTTTCAAAGTAGGACTTATATAATATGTAGGAAACTCAATATGTTAACTAATTTACAGAGTGCGCCAACTAAATACCCGTGTGATGTAGCATTTTAAAATATGAGAGAATATAAAATGCCACGTAGATGCAATTTAAGAGAATAAAAATAGGGGTAAAATCTACTTTATATGCTAAGTATAGATTTTGTATGAAAAAAGTATAGATTTTGTATGAAGATAAATATGCCTAAAAGAAGCATCAGGTTAATGTGATTGAAGAAGCCTTGAGCTATATTACTAGTTTCTCTCTTCTTTTTTCTTAATGTATAAATAATAAAATGTAATAATTCCCCACCCCTAACTATTCAAAAAACTTAGACACTAAGAAGCAAGAACGCTTCTAAAGTTTGTGTCCATGTCTGACACTGGCACTCTTCAAATACTTTTGACATTTGTTGGACACTTCCAAATCTGTCTTATAATTAGTATTTTTTTATTTATTTAAGTCCCAAACATGCTTCGGACACTCGGGGACACATGTCCATCATTTAGATATATATGAAATACATTGTAAGTTTGCATAAAATAACTCAAAAGGGTACAATGATTAAAATTTAAAATATATATATGTATATACATCTATTCCTATTAATTTCTTCTCCTTTAAACTTTAGGAATTTATGTTATGTTATTCCTATTAATTTCTTCTCCTTTAAATTTTTGGAATTTATGTTATGTTGCATTTTTTTTTTTATTATATTTGAATGAAATATAATAAATATATAAAATCATATATTTCGTGTATCCGCCACTTGTTGTGTCCTGTATTTTTTGAAAATTAAAGTGTCCATATTTGTGTTTCTTAACTTGCAGTTTGGTAAGTAATAATTTTATTGTAGAGGGAAAAAATCACGTCTTGAAGGTGAATACTCCTTAACAAATAAGACACTCAACGAAAACATTTAGTGACAAACAAACACTCTATCCTATTTATCAAAAAAAAAAAAAAAAAAAAAAAAAAAAACCAACATAGTATATTATTCTTCAACTTAATCCTGTAAAAACACAAATCTAGGAGAATTACGGTCTCTTTTATTACATTTTGTCCCACCAACATTCCTCTCTATACATTTTGTCCCACCCTGTTACAGGATTTTTGTAAATATATTCCTGGCCAAAAGTGCTTTTAATGCTATACAACGATAATTTTATACCATTAAACAGCCTATGATTTCATTCCTTCATGATGATCCACATGATGCACAAAGGAATCAAAAGTTATTTTGGCAACCAATAATTTTATTTGAAAATTCTCATTTTGGCAATTTGTTACTTTATTCTGGAGCTGTTTATAGGTTGCTCATAGGTTATGACATGAGATTTTTCGATTGAGGTTGTAAGGTGTCCTTGGATTTATATTAGAAGCCACATTAAGGTGTTTTTTTGGAGTTAAAGTAAGCCAGTTTATTTCTGTTCTCATTTGAATTTCAGGAAATAATTTTCAGGAAATAATCTTGATGAAGCTTGTTTACTTGTCTGCATATTTTGTTTAAAATCTGGACTAGAGGCTGGATGTATGAGGCAGCCACACAGTTTGACCAAGAATATTTATACACATTTATATATATGTATATATTTTATGTACACTACAACTATATGTATTCAGAGATAGAGGTAAAGATAGCCAAAAGGAACCTTAGGTTAGAATGATAATTTCCGTACATGCCTACTTAGGTTTAAAGGTCTTTGTAATTCTATGGACGTTGAGCCCTCTCATTTTAGGGTTCTAGTTGAAGGTTAGGTTCCCTAAGGTTTGGTTTTTCCAAGTAAGGGAGGATCCATCAACTGACATTGAGGAAGAGCTGAAGGTCAGATTCTTTGTGAGGCACATCTACAACTCTTGATTCATTGTTTCCGACTCTTATGGGGTGATTGAAATTGTAATTTTAACCGCAATTTTCATCATATATGTTGATTTTTTATCCTTTTATATTGTTTAAAGAATTAGAAATGAATATATTTGTGAAATAGTAGGAGTAACACCTATTGAAAATAAGTAGAGAGATGTTAGGGGGGAGAGAAGACTTGAATTGACTTGGTATGCAATAGTAAAAAAGGATGGAAGTTTATTTAATTTAACTGAGCTTATGTAGCCTTTGACCTAGCAAAAAAAGGTTCATGTAGCTAACCACCACTTGATTTGGCACAAAGCTTGGTTTGGTTTATATTTGGCACAAAGCTTGGTTTGGTTTATATTGTTTAGTGAACGGGTTGCAATCCCTGTCTCTCAAAATGTTGTGGACCAAACTAAGGATGTATTTGTTGAATATAGAAATTAGAGTACATAGAATCTTTTTATTTTTAGTATTATGTATATAATCTGTGATTGTGTCAATTACTGATTTAGTATTATTTCCTTATTTATATCGTTTCCTAAATTATATCATGAATCTATTATATATACATAGCCTCTACCTCATTCATGGCTAAGCAAAATAATTCTTTTTATTCTTTTTGGTATCAGAGCTATGTTAAGTACCTAATAATTTTCTTCACCGGTGGGGCTGCAGCCCGCCCAACCCATTCCATTGCCATATTTTCTTTCAGTATTACTTGTGGTGATCTCTTCCTCTATCTCTTCCTCTATCCACTAGTTTATTCATATCCCAAATATTTTTATCATAAGTTATGTGGTGCCACGCTTCCTGGTTCAACATCCAGTTCTCTACATTAGTCCGACACGATTCCTTTAAACTGTCTCGACATTGATTCCAGTTAGTCTTTACAACAGTCCGGCATGATCTCATAAACTGTCCCGATATTGATTTCGGTTAGTTCCTACAACGGTCCGACATGACCCCATAAATTGTCCTGACATTGATTCCGGTTAATTCCTACAACGGTCTAGCATGACCCCGTAAACTGTCCCGACATTGATTCCGGTCAGTTCTTACAACGGTCCGGCATGACCCCTTTAAACTGTTCCAACATTGATTCTGGTCAGTTTAGTCCCTGTTTTTTTCCCCTTTCTAGGGCATGGTGTTGATGTACTAAGTACTTTTTGGCATTTTTTATTTAGTAGACTACCAGATATGTTCAGTAGCATTTATTTGGACTAGCTGTTGAGTTTTTTCCGGCTTTGGTGCTGATGTATTAAGCACTTTTTGGCTTTTTTTATTTAGTGGACTACTAGATTTGTTCGGTAGCATTTATTTGGACTAGTTGTTGAGTTTTTTCTGGCTTCTTTTAGTATCCATTGCCAAGCTGAGATTGTTGAATATCTTCACACCAGTTTGAAGGGGAGTGTTGAATATAAAAATTAGAGTACATAGAATCTTTTTATTTTTAGTATTATGTATATAATCTGTGATTGTGTCAATCACTGATTTAGGCTAAGTTTGGCATCTTTAATAAAAGTCAAAAAGTCAAAAAATCACTATCCTATTTAAGTCACATCATCTTATTTAAGTCACATCACTTCTCTATCACATCACTTCAAACCCAACCCATATTTCATAAAAAGTAAAAAAGTGCACTTATTTAGAATATCACAAACAACCCCTTAATATTATTTCCTTATTTATATCGTTTCCTAAATTGTATCATGAATCTATTATATATACATAGCCTCTACCTCATTCACGGGTAAGTAAAATAATTCTTTTCATACTTTTGTATTTCGTTGGCATTCTCTTTCTGGGAGCTAGTGCAGTGATTGCCATAATTGGGGTAATATCATAATCCTATATTGTGGCATGTTTACCATGACTGTAGAGTCTTGGTCCTCTAAAATCTGGATCAGGTCTAGCATAGATGACATAATTTCATAGAAACTCTTCATTTCCCCTTACTGCAGTGCACCACTATTACTAAAGATTTTATCCATTAGGCCTGTAAAACCTCAGGTACAAAGGCTGCTTTTTATGCCTTGAAGGTTTTCAATCTATCCTTCTATCTACAATACTAGATGCAGACTTTTTTGGGACGAAATATTAAAATTCAGCATTTTTATTTTTTTTAATCTTTATTTTTTTGTTGTACTTTATTTCTTCTTATTGTAAGCATTGCCAATAGCAGCAAGGAAAATTATTTTCAGTATCATAATAGGATGTGTCGAAAGTCTGTTTCTTTACTTGTTATTAATTCCCTTATCTTTTTTCTATTCATTTTTCTTTCAATGTAGGTTGGCTGGGACGAGTCGACTGCAGGTGAGAGGCAGCCACGGGTATCGTTATGGGAAATTGAGCCTTTGACTACTTTTCCCATGTATCCATCACTCTTTCCTCTCAGGCTGAAACGCCCATGGTATCCTGGAGCCTCATCTTTTCAAGGTACATGTTATGCTTGACTGATTAGGCTAACATTTGTCTCCCCCTTTTCTTGTCCACATAGTGGACGATGCATAATTTTCCAAGATGGGTGGAACCATGTGATGGTGCTGCATATAAGTTTGGTGTAGTCAATCTAAATGATCTTTAGTTTAGGTTAAGAGTTTTAAGTTCATCCTCTTGCGCTCATTTGTCCAGCCTTGTGTATCAAAAAGCCTTGCTAAAGTTATTGAGTGATTTGATTTGTGTGAGCTCTAGAAATATTGTTAGTAGTAGTTGGTTTTAATGTGTCATCTTGTTGTCAGTTTCTTCTTTCTTCCATGTTCTCTTAGTTTTTGTTGTTTGATAAAAGATAAATCTTGCTGTGTGACTCATTATGACATTTTCTTATAAATAATGGTTGAGATCCTCAACTAGTCACTCAGAGAAGCTCTTGAGCTCAATGGAAATGCATCTCCCAAGGTCTTGTTCATTTCTTGCATTTTTTTGTTTTTAGTGTGGGTAATGGCGAGAATATTCAGTTTTGGGAGGGTGTTTGAAAGGGTAAGGCTTCTTTTGATCTTTTATTCTCTCACTTTTATCATTTATCTCGGTCTCATTTGCTTCAATGGCTGCTTCTCATTTGGCCCCGATCTTTAGAACTTCAATTTGTTTAGAAATCTCAATGATTGAAAAGTCAATTAATTAGCCTCTTTGTTATTCATTCTTGATATGTTTCTTTGAGACTAATGTGGTTGACCAGAGAATTTGTGCCATCCATTTCTCGGGTGTGTTTCTTGTAAGTCATTCTTTGATCAACTTATTGATAATCCAGATACACCACAGTTCGATTTTCACAGACATAGAATGCATATGTGCCCCTTCAGGTTGAAGTGGTTCCATTGTCTTTGAAAAGCTCAATACTAATGATGTGTTCCCGAAAAGGAGATCAAATTACATCTTATTTCCTCACTAATGCTCCTTATTGGTCAAAGATTCAGCTTCAGAATTGGCAGTGTAACAACTGAGTACTCTAAAAGCTTAAGCTGATAGATATGTAAACTTTCCTTTCTTTTTTTCTTTTTTTTTTAGAAACTGATATCATCAAGATACCCTTTCAAGTGGGCTAACTCTTCCTCAGAAGTGGGCAAAACAGTTGTTTGTATTATATTAGTTGAGGACTAACGGAAGGGTTGCTTGCTCTTATACCATGTTACTGGCACACAATGGGAGAGAATTATGTTCTGTTAATGAAGGAAATGACCAAAAATAGATACAATGGTTGCCTTTCTAATTGTCTAGATAACAATGAATGTGGTTAACAAATATATCTATTGGGCTGCGCTATACATTTTATAGCCCTATCGTCCTAATGCTGTCAATGTGGTTAATGCATAGGTTAGTAGTAGCTAATTAAACAGTGTTCAGGTTAGAAGTAATCTCCCAATGGCAATTTTATCTTATTCTAGCCTCTAGGATTCATGTAGCTAACCCTACTTGAGTGGGACACAGCACAAGGCTTGGTTGGGTTTAATGATGGAGAGGTCTACTTGGGCCTATTATTTTTGGTATCTTCAACATTGAAGGCTCTTTTATTCTTCACTTGTTCTTGATACTAAAACCGAAAGGTATACCTGAGAAAGTCGCAAGCTATGGTATAGTAGCCTCTTCAGGCAAGTCTCTCTCTCTCTCTCTCTCTCAAGAAAAATTCTTTCCTCTGCTAATTTTACAGATAGCAGAGAAGGAGCAGTTAATGGCATGACGTGGTTTAGAGGAGAAACTGGAGAGCAGGGACTTCAATCCATTAATTTTCAGAATGTTGGTATGTTTCCCTGGACTCAGCAGAGAGTGGATGCATCCTTTGTCAGAAATGACCTTAATCAGCAGTACCAAGCCATGTTGGCGGCTGGTTTGCAGAATATAGGAGGTGGGGATTCTCTGAAACAGCAATATTTGCAGTTGCAGCAACCTTTCCAATATCTTCCTCATCCGGGCAGCCAAAATCCATTGTTGCATCAACAGCAGCAAGTGATTCAGCCACCAAATCCTTTGCATATTCTTCAAGCTCAGACTCAAATGCTACCAGAGAACCTGCCTAGGCATATGCAGCAACAAGTCTGCAATCAACCAGAGGAACAGCGACAGCAACATACCTATCAGGATGCGTTTCTGATTCAAAGTGACCAGCTCCAGCATAGGCAGCAGCAGCCTAATGTTCCATCTCCTTCATTTTCAAAAACAGACTTTGCAGATTCAAACCCTAAATTTTCGACATCTGTTGCTCCTTGCATACAAAATATGCTGGGCTCGCTGTGCACTGAAGGAAGTGGCAATCTTTTCAATTTCTCGAGAACTGGTCAGTCCATGCTCAGTGAGCCATCCCAACAACCATGGGTGTCGAAGTTTACGCATTCACAGGTCAATACTTCTGCCAACTCAGCGTTACTTCCACCATATCCTGGGAAAGAGGCTGCTGTCGAGCAGGAAAATTGTAGCTTGGATGCTCAGAATCATGCTCTTTTTGGTGCTAATATCGACTCTGGACTCCTCCTCCCCACCACACTTTCCAATATTGGTACTTCTTCAGTTAATGCTGTTGTGTCCTCAATGCCATTAGGGGCTTCTGGGTTTCAGAGTTCTTTGTTTGGTATGCAAGACTCTTCGGAGTTGTTGCACAATGCAGCACAAGTTGACCCATCAACCCCTACCCGTAATACATTTGTCAAGGTGCGAACCAGAGAGTGCATTGTGTAATTTGTCAACACTTTTGAGTATTGGGTGGATGATGTTTGTGTTTGTGCAGGTTTACAAGTCGGGATCGGTTGGACGGTCACTGGACATCTCTCGTTTCAGCAGCTACAATGAGCTGCGAGAGGAGCTGGGTCAGATGTTTGGAATTGAGGGGTTGCTGAAAGACCCTCAGAGATCAGGCTGGCAGCTTGTATTCGTTGACAGGGAGGACGATGTGCTTCTCCTTGGAGACGGCCCATGGGAGTAAGTACTCTGTTACAGTATTAACTAGCCTGATATATACTTTCTATGTGGTGTGTACTTCTTAACCATCGCTTCCTTTTTTCCGGACAATATGCGTTGTCTTTAACAACGCCATAGGATATCTGGATGATGTGGAAATTCAGTTGTCAGTCTGCCTGGTAGGTCGTTTTGCACGCCAAAAACAAAGAATTAAACTACATCTTAATTCCGTAGAATAATGGGAGTTCCGGTATTGATCCACAAGGACTAAAAGACTAAGGCCTTGTTTGGGAAGAGGGTTGGGCTAAAATAGCCCACTAAAAGACAAAATAGGCTAAAATAGCCAATAAGACAAAAATGTCACATTCAACCCATAATCATTTCATTTTTTCTCTCACAGCCATTAAATCAACTACAAAAAAAAGCCAATCAACTTTCCAAACACAACTTTTTTGAGCCAGGCTAAAATAGTCAAAAAGCCAAATAGCCAACTTCCCAAACAAGGCCTAAGTTGTGTATTAGTTTCAGATTAATTCCTAAATTAATTCGAAAGTAAAAGAGGAGAATTTTGTGTGAGCTTAATTAAATTAAACAAATAAAATCTAATTGAAGTGGTATCAATCAGATAGAAGGGACCTAGTGTTTCGAATCCACTCTAACCTTGTAATCAATGAGTTGTGTCAGTCTAGGGATTTATATTCAATTTAACTATGATCCATTATTAACTACAAGTCCCAACAATATTTAATTGTTGTTTAATGATTGGCATAGACTATCCAATACTAGCACGGCTCGTCTCACGGCACGACTCGTCTTTCCTAGCATAGACTATCTTAACCGAGCAAAAGCAAAACAATGAAAACCATTGTATAAGCATGCAATTAGAATCACAGAAACTAAGAACATATGTTGAGTAAAAATATTCAAAATAGATTTTTTTTTTATTTTTTATTTTTCCAGATTCAAAACAGATTAATAATATAGAACAGTCTTAATCTTATACAACTGTTGAACCAATACTAAAAATCCTAAGCTAAATACAAAACATTGTTACTTGATTAGAATTTCATCCAAATCCTAAAAGGAGCTCCTTAGTCATGCATGTCTTTTTAGCCTCCGCTTTCTCTCTCTAAAATCATGAACAACCCTAATAATGAATAGGGTTTTGTATTTATAGACATTAGGAGCCTTTTAAGTAATACCCAAGAGGTTAGAATTCCTCAAAATAAAAGAAAATTCAAATAGAATTATTCCCAACTTTTTAGGCTCATCTTGTGGGCCTGTTTTGACCTAGTAAAAGTCAAAATTGGAAAATTCATATTTCACACAAAACCATAGCACTTTAAGTTATATTTTCAATGCTGCTTTGAAATCGGACGAGAGAGATACATCCAAAATACTGAAGGCTGTGCAGAGTGACTCCTACAGCAGGATTGCAACAATTCTTTTCTTTCTTCAAACCTCTTGGGTTGGGCTTATATTGGTTGATTCAATTATTTACATCTCCCGAACCTTTAAAATTGGGTTGGACCTTGGCTCTTGGGCTTCAAATACTTCAAATAAAGTCAATTTTATCTCACAAGCCTTGGTGACCTACACATATACAAACTCGTTAAAACTGTCAAGTAACAATAATCGAAGGACTAACAATTGTATTTTAAAGGACCTAAATGTGTACATTTTGGAACCTATCACTGCCTTGTCTCTGTGTTGTTATGATTAGCTTAATCCTTTTTGCTTATTCCCAACACTTTGAAAAATTCACTTGCAGGTTTATCTGAGTAGTACTATTTCTGTTGTGGTGTGGAAAATGATAAAGATTTTGAGGTGATTTCATCTGCATGGTGCATACAAGCGTGGCACTATACTTATTTTCTGTGAACGTGTTTCTTGTTCATGTGCAGGGCATTTGTAAATAATGTCTGGTACATCAAGATACTTTCACCCGAGGATGTGCTGAAACTGGGGAAACAAGAAGTTGAATCCTTTAGCCACAACACTGGCGAAAGGGATGAATACCAGTGGGAGTGATGCTTGAGACCTTGTTTCTGGAATACCCTGTGTAGGCTTCCATGACTATTGAGAACGACTAATAGTGAATTGCAATCTTCCAAAGTCGGTTTGCTTCAAGACTTATTGCCTTTTGGTTCTATCTATGCAGTTATTCTGGATTTGGTACTTTTGGATTGTGCAGCCGCTACGTTTGCCATGCATTGGCATATATGATACTTTGTACAATCTGTTAATGCTTAATGTAGTTATTTTGATGAAAGGATCGGTTCCATGGATTATGTATATGCATATCAGACTTAGATTGAAGAATTAGATGATGAGGAACATGTCTAGCTACTCTAAAAGTTTAGACCTTGAAACTATGCCATCAAATTATATTGTGGATCTGCTGCTAAGTTCCACTGCTCTTTACGACTCCATTCGTTTTATTTTTATTTTTGCATACTCAAATTACAACCCTTCCCTGGCATGGTTTAATCACACTTTTCACAGTAGGGTGAGCATTTGATAGTGCACACACTCTTTATCGTGCATGTTGAGAGCACCAGTTCTACAGTTTTCCTGTGATATTTGGAATGCTGATTGCAGATGTCAATTTTATGGTGGGTGATTGATTACAGAAAATTCTTTCAATGCAATGTTGCAATTTCTGGTCATCTTTGGAGAATGTTTGATAGAAAGTTTGAACAGAGCAGCTTGGCTTAGGGATTGTTTCGTTGGCAGTTACGTTTGATAACAGACTATTTTCGCAATTTTTTGACCATTTATAAAAAGATATGCAGAAAAGTAGGTAGGGTGATGTGATAATTTATAGTGATTTTTTGACTTTTTAAGTAAAATGTATAGTTCTTGATTTAGTTTTTCAAATTGTTGTCCTTTTGACTCCAAAAGAATTAGAGCTTGGGGCCATAGTCCCAAAACTTTTGAAATTGGACTAATGGCCACTTTTTTTTGACAATATGTGAAAACAAGATTTTATTTTTATTCTTAACTCAAATTATGAAGATTTTGAATGTGTTGTTAATATATATATATATATATATATTAAATAAAAAGAGATATTGAATGTATAATTGATAAGAAAAAAGATAAAGGGGATTTTTTTTTTAAGGTTCTTGGTATTAAAATTTTATAGCATAAAAGACATTTAATATTTTCATAATGTCTAAGGTTTTTCAACATTGATCCAGAGAAAATTCGATTTAGAGAATTTCTCTGTACATATCACAGAGAAAATTTCAATTCTAAATTTCTCTGGACGCATTACAGAGAAAATTTCAAATTTCTCTAGCTATATCACAGAGAAAATTTTGCACATTACGCACACAAAATTTCTCTAGATATATTACAAAGAAATTTTATACATCTCCAACACCAAATTTCTCTGGATACATTACAGAGAAAATTTTACACATCACCAACACCAAATTTTTCCGATTTCAAACCAGAGAAAATTGAAATTTCTCTGAGATCAAATTAGAGAAATTTTTTTCCTTTTCCTTTTCCTTTTTCTTTTCTTATTTCAATTTCTGTTTATTAACAATACTGTTGTTATTTACCATTATTTCATATCCAGTTTATGCAACCATTTATGTATAAACTAATATTTTTACAAAACCCTTTATAATGACATTATAATTAAACATTTAAAAAAAACAAGGACCAACCAACATTCCAATCCTTAGTGAGCATTTTGTGTTATATGATTTTCTTACCTGGCTAGATCTGGATAAACTTAGCCGTCTTGATCTTGCACGTCTCTAAATATTGAAAGAAATAAGTTGAACCCTTCAGATGAAGCTCCACCTAAGATCCACAGTAACAAGTTACTAAACGAATTCATGGTCCCAGCTTTGTTCACAATTTTTTTTGGCTTTGTTCACATCTACAGATGCACATCTTCGACTAGGCAGATGTTGTGTTTTCTTGACGGGATTGTCCTTTACTTTTGTGCATAACGATTGTTGTTTCTGCTTTGTGTATTGGATTGAATTTCTCTGGTTTGGACCAGAGAAATTCTCTGGTTTGAACTGAATTTTCTCTGGGTTGGTCCAAAGAAATTCTCTAGTTTGGACTGAATTTTCTTTGGTTTGAACTGAATTTTCTCCGGGTTAGTCCAAAGAAATTATCTAGTTTGAACTGAATTTTCTCTGGGTTTGGATTGAAAATTCTCTAGATTGATTTGAGAGACCTTAGACATTCTTTCATTGACATTTCATCAAACACCTTCTTTGCTGAATCCATGTCCCCAGCTCCCGAATATAACTTTTTATGTAAATTTCTTCATTAAATGTTGTATGTAGGTTTTAAGATCTAGTTTATTGAGATCAACAATAAAGACAATGAAGAAAAAACAAGAAAAAAGTGAGGGAAGAAATGATGAATATTTTCTAGTTGTGCTTGTGGATATGTAACTGATGCATTTTATTTCTGCTTTCATATCTGCTATAATGCTTTATAAATCTTACTAATGCTCTGCTACTTAATATTTGTCCTCCGAGGGTAATGATATTTGTCAACAAAGGAATCTTCATTGGAGGACTAGTGATCGGAGGAACAATAATGAGGATTAGTGCTCTATTTCATATAAATCTTGTTGTATAAAGCACTATCAGAAGTCTTCATATAAATCGACGATCTCCATCGACAAAGCTTTATAAATCTTGTTAGTGCGAATTCCTCCGTCGTAGTCAATTTCAATGAAGCTTTGAACAATGCTGTGGACAAAGAGAAGAGAGAGAGAGAGAGGAGTTGTTTGGTGCAAAAAGAGAGAGGAGAGAGAATGAAAGAATGAGTGTTATATATGTGTATGGGTGAGGGACATTAGACTACAAAAAAAATTATTGTAAATTTTTCCCATTATTAAAAGTTGAAAAGGAATGTTAGACTATTTTTTTCAAAAATAAGCACGTTGCCGAAAGATAAAATATGTATAATCAGTCAAATTTAATACCTAAAACATAGCAATTGGTGAGTAAATAAAGCGCACTAGTTTATTTATTTATTTATTATAGTTTAAAGTTGTATTGAGTAAAATATTTTTATCTTTTTGTCCGGCAAGACAAAATGATCATAAAATTAAGGGAAATGTTATGGTGTACGCCCTTAAAAGGGTTTACATACCATAGGCACCTTACTATAGAATGTGATTGCCTAATTTTATTACAAAATTTTATAATAATTATTATAAAATGCGTAATATCACAAAAAATATCGTAATTAAGGTACAAATTTTTGTTGTATCAATCACAAAATTTTGAATATTTTATTATGTTAATTTGTGACGATGACAAGTATTTTGTGGTTCATATTATGAAATTTTATAATAAAATTATACATTTTTATAGTAGGATGCATGTGATATGCACTTCGATAGGATTTCCAATTAAATTATTACTTCGCGTAAGTGAAACACTTTCTATATTTTTTATGATGAGTCTATCTAAATTATTTTTTTGGGTGCAAGTTATGTTGGTAATTTTTATATTTTAGTTTTGATGTTATTTTGATACATGTAATTTTAATTAGTTTGATTTTGACTTTTGATTTATAATATTAGGTGGCCAAAAAACGACGTTGTTTTGGTGGCCAAAAAAAAAAAAAAAATGCTTATAAGTAGCAATTGTATTCAGTGGGTTTGATTTTAATTTTCTTAAATCAATTTTTTAAAAATTGAGTTTTTTTTTTTTTGTTTTTAGTGAATATTTTAAAAAATTTTAGCAATTTTTCTTACTTTTTTAGTTGCACCTTACTTAGATATAGCTAAAAAATAAAATATTTATAAAAAAATATTTAAAAAATCATTAAATACACAGGAATATAAAAAATATACTGAATTCTCGTATTTTTTTAAAAATATTTTTTGTATTTAGTGATATTTCTAAAAAAAAATTCACAAATATTATATTTTAAGTATATTTATGTTAGGTGTATCTAAAAATTAAAAAAACAAATTGCTTAGAATATTAAAAAAATTTAGTAAAAATACGAAAAATAAAAAAATTTCAATTTCCTAAAAAGTGAATCCTGAAAATCCAAACCAAACAAATTGATTGTTAGGGAAAAATTATAAATTTACTCATCTTAAGCTAAGTTTGGAGACCCGTACAAAGGAAAATTATATGTAATATATCTACCTTTAGTTACAACTTTTGAGTCCATAGTTATTAGGGGTGCTCAGCGTATATTTTGATCCTCCCAAGCCGACCGAAACGAACTGATCTATCACATTTTGGATAGATGCGTGATGACGAGTGGACGGTTGTAGATTGATTTTTTTCCAATTTGCCTAGTGTGGGGAAGTGATTTGGAAATACTCTTCTGATCTTGGGGGACGCTATTGATCCTTTTCTGGCCACCTGAAAAGGAATAAACACTCTAGTCGGGGGTGCCGGAATTAGCACTCCGACGGGCAAGTCAGTCTTTACCCTCAAGATTACTTATATTCTAAGTTAAGCCTAATAGTTCTCACGTACCTTTTACTGGCTGATGTTCTTCTATTTATACCCTTTCTCTCTTGGGCCTTGGGATTAGGCCCACTTTCTGTTCGTCATTCGGCTTCCTTTGTAGCAAATTGCTTTTTACTCGGCCCTTGACTTATTCGGCTATTTGACTGAATAGGGCATGCTTTGGATGTGAGATGAAGCCAAATACTATACATACATCCTAGTTCCTCAAGTTCATATACTCGGCCTATTTACGACCCCCATTACTCGACCCCCACACCTAGTTTTGGACGAATAACAGATTTCATTTGGTTACAATTGAATTGCCAAATCTCGAGTACCCCTAATAATTTGTAAGACTTTATGTTTTCAATTTATTTAGATATTTTGTTTGTGCTTTCAATTGAAAAAGAGTTTAGATATTTTGTTGTGTTATCAATTTGGAAATCCTTTTATCAAATGGCAAGTGTTGATATTTGGTATTTTTGTGTGAAAAATATAAGGCCTAATTTTGTTATTTAAAAAAAAAACCAAATTAAATAATTTTTGAATTAAAAAAAAGTAATGAAATAGTTTTGATAATGCATGGTTTTCTTATATGTATTTATTATTATTATTTGACAATTTACTTGATAATCTTTTGGTTATGTGGAGTTGGGTTGTTATCTAAAAAAAAATGTTGATAAGTTGCTGTATTATGTTCAAAATTTATAAAAGTTTAAATTGCCAACCTGATTCGCATCCATTCGCCAATCTGCATTCGTTAATTTGGCGGACGAATGTGAATTGACTTTTTTAATCCGTCGATCCAGTGGATGAATGGCAGATTGGATGTTCCTGGCCATAATTAAGTCGCGAGCACCCCCAATAGTTATGAGCTATTATGTTGTCAGTTATAACATATTATAATGTTGATTATGACAAAAATTGGTTATGATCTAAAAATCATTTGAATTATAACTGATTTTTTTTTT